TGTCAATGGACGCTACAGCTTCGTGTTTGCTTTCAAAACTTAGCTTGTAGCAGACGTGCACATTTTCAGCATGACGTCTCTGATCCACTGGAATAAGGACACTTTGATCCTCTCCTCTTTCATCTATAACTGCTTCAGACAACAAAGTGTATGCAGGAAAGTGGTGAAGATTGCACGACTGTCTGTGTCCTATGTGTTGTGTTGTGTTATTTTTGTTATTTTGACTTCAAGATGGCGCCGCGTGAGTGGCTGCCTTTCCAGCAGCTCCTATATTTTGTTGTTCTACTTCTTCCATTCATAACTTTGCTGCTGTGAATTGGGAATTTCTCCATTGCGAGACTAATAAAGGTTTTCTTATCTTATCTTATCTTAAATGCCCATTTTTTTTATCAACGCAGAAGCGCAATACTGTGCTCAAAATGCTTGTTCACATTCATGCTATCTTTCTAATTTGGATGTTGTTCAGTTTTCGGCATAAGGCCTCGATAGCGCAGTAGGCAGCGCGTCAGTCTCATAATCTGAAGGTCGTGAGTTCGATCCTCACTCGGGGCAAAACTTTTCCGAATTTGTTGTATTTATATGTAAACTGTCTATTTGATTAAACTATTTGCCTACACTCACTTCGAAACAAATGTATAATGTATCTTGTTCAGTTAATATACTAGTAATGATTGTGTGAACTAAATTTTGTAATTATGGATGTGCTTTATCAGTGTCGCTGATAAAAGTCTTTCGTGATGAATTACGTGGAGAGTCACTTGTCGTGTCTTCGAATCAAACATTACGACACGAATCGAACATTAAATATCGGTAATCTGTCCTAAATCAAAGAATATAATAATCTATCCATTATCTGAACCGCTCATGTACATGGAAAAAAAACATTACTGTGTCCTATGTCACAAAGTCAACAGTAGGTGGTGCACAGCTACAAGAGTAAAACGGAATAGAACCTGAGGCTCAAGATCAACTGCCCGGATCGCTTTTAAATCATTCATTCAAACATTCGGCCATTTCATCATCATATATAGGGGATATATTATTAACAACGTTTACAATTGCGTTTTCAGTTGATTTGTCACCAATTGATGCACTTGTACTTCCAGATCATTTGGAATTTTGGAAAATGCATATCAATTACGCAGTCAAGTAGTAAATTCGAAAGAAATAGAGAGAGAGAGAGAGAGAGAGAGAGAGAGAGAGAGGAAGAGAGAGAGAAAAAGAGAGAGAGAGAGAGAGAGAGAGAGAGAGAGAGAGAGAGAGAGAGAGAGAGAGAGAGAGAGGGCGGGGTGGAGGCTGAGGCTGACAGTGGGCTCCAGGCAGTGTCAGGCTTCACATTCAGTTTTCAATCTTAGTGTCTGCGCAGTGCAACCCTTTTCGGGAGTCATATTTAGCATCCAGTGCCCACCTTTCTCGAGCTTGGTTTTCTTTACTTTCTAACTGAGATGTTGCAATGTTCCGTGCTGTCTTACAAAACGTGGATTTGTGTTGGCTGATTTTTCTCTACTTAGCTATTACACTTGGCTGTAGATCAGCCGATGCAGACAGCTGTCATGAGGTGAAGACAGCATACATGATGCGCCAAATAGGACAGGTGGAACTGGTGCCAGACAGTCCCCAAACAGGTCAGTGAATCACACTTTAATATTCATCATGGGACACAGCCTGACCATTGAAAGGGTTATATAAATATCTGAAAATTAAATATACTCCAATTGCTGGAAAAGTAGATACCATTTTGTATACACTTCAGTTGTTTTTAGCATGACAAATTTCATACCTGTTGATCTTCTTTTGCACAGCGTATTTACAGTGAGACATAGTTTAATTAATTTTAAACTAATCATTCTGTGACAGTTATAATGTCAACAGTCTCAGAGTTTAGACTCTTTTGTAAAACAAGGCCAAATTCCAAATTGAGGGTATCATCATTCCGGTAGGCCAGCACTTCAGACCAAGAGGCTATTTCTGTTGAAAATGAACATAAATAGCCTGGGACATATAGAAAGCACACATTGCAATGAGGTGGTGTTGAACATGTTGTTTTCTCAAGTTCAAGAGCTTTTGCTTGTACTGCATATCCAATTCTTTATCAGGATATTATCCTATTTTTTTTCTTCCTGTATCGATGATTTCGCTCCTAACTGCTGAAAAATGTGATTGACTTTTCATCTTGAATTTTGTATTGTCTTAGCTTTGTTGTCACTTTCAAAATGCTGCAGAAGGAGACTTTAATCACCTGATTAAATAATTCAATAATAATAATTCAAAATAAGATATTAGTAAAAACAATATTGTAACTCGAATGACATACAAGCTTTTTATTGCCCAGAGTGACATTTTACGTTTTTTTCCGAGCACTTCTTGGTTTTCCAATTAGCTCATCTGTTGTCTTCCATTTTCAATCAATTGCTGATGGATGCTCTTTCTATTCATTAAAAGAGAACGTTTTATCATTAGAGATATGAAATAGTTGATTACTGAATTTACAATGGATGTTTTTATATCATGAAATTTGTAGTTGTTTTCCACTTTCAGTGCGTGCATGTGTGTGTGTGTGTGTGTGTGTGTGTGTGTGTGTGTGTGAAAGAGAGAGAGAGAGAGAGAGAGAGAGAGAGAGAGCCCTTGAGAGAATACTGTACTCATATTTTTAAGAAAAGGCTCAAGACCAACCTTTTCAATTTACCGGTAACTTTTAACTAAGATCCATTTACTTTACTGATCTGTTTTAATCATCTTAACTTCTGTTTTATTGATGGTCCTTTTTTGCTTTTACATTGTGTCTGATTCACATGGTGTTTTTATAATCTTGTCGGTCTGATATTTATGTTTTGACTATTTTAGCATTCATTTTTCAGGATGGTTATGTGTTAATATTTCGAGTTTTGTAGTTTTAGCTCCGTACTGTCTTTTCAAATAATGACTCCTTTCAGTGTTTCTTCAGAGGGAGCCTTCTGGGGCAGGAGCTGCAGTGGGCCATGGCCGTGGCTCTGTCTCATTGGGCCCCAATTGCTATTTGTGCAGGTTTTTGCTGCGCTGCTGCATTGGCGGCTCCATTTTGACAGCCTGCTGCCGTGGCTAATGGTGATGGCCCAGCAAAGTTGGCTCCTTGAGATAGTGTTTTCATGACTTGGATGCCTTGTGCTCAGCATCAGGTTTTTTAGGTCAATTGTGTGGGGTGGGTGGTTTGTTTTGTTTTTTAACCTGTGTGCGTGCGTGTGTGTGTGTGTGTGTGTGTGTGTGTGTGTGTGTGTGTGTGTGTGTGTGTGTGTGTGTACAGAACCTTATCTTTGTGGGCTAGTACTGTAGTGGGAGAATGAGTTTGTTTGGGTGGTTGTGTTTAACTCATGTAAAGCACTTTGAGTTGCATGTTTTTGAATGAAAAGTGCTAGAAAAATGAAATTTGATGGCCTGATGTCACATCAGCATTATACCGTTGTTAAAATGTACTGGTATATTATGTGTGGACCGCGGAGAAAATTGTGTGTTCATACATCCGTGGACCGTTGCTGCATCCAGAGCAATACAAAGATTTTATGTGTCTTGTCAGGTCTGTTTGAAACTTCACCAACTTCTATGACTGAATATCAATACCCATATTCCTATTAACTGACAGCTTTAATCAATGACAAGAGAAACATGCCTCATGAAATCATTCACGCAGGTTGAGAAATCATTCTGTTCATTTTGATATTTTCCAGGCCAACTATCAAAATTCTAGTTTTACATTGAAGATACACACTCTATTTAAAAAAAGAAAAAGAAAAAAACATATATGCATTCACAATTAAGAGCAGGAAACTAAATTGACAGGTATTGTCAAAAATAAAAAGATGATTTTAAAAATACGAAATAAAATGCCACCCAAATGACGCTGTGTGATCTTAAACAAGTCTATCCAATAAATTGCGCAATGTCGCAGTTTCATATAAGACACCAACCAAACAAGAACAAAACAAACTATTCTTTGAAAATAAAGTAAACAGATCATTTACATTTTGAAAATTGGCAATACAACAGCAAATAACTGAAAATGTTGAGCAGCTGAGATTGAACGAACTTTCGTGCACGAAGGTGACGACAATGCACCATTATAAATTGCAGGTGAGCAGATTTATTTGATACATTTTTGTATCTTTGTCATTTTATTTCGTTACCATTAATTTACAACGAACGATATAAAATGACAAGAAGAAATGTAAAATAAAATTTATTTACTCACCAATGTAGTGCCTGTTCACTGAGCTGCAGATCTACGCGAGTGTCCCAAAACGTTTTTAAACGCACCGTAGCTTGTAAGTGCCCAGCCGTGCTCTTGATGTTTCCTTGTTGCCTTGGTAAAACAATCCAGTGTGGCTCCAAACACCAAATCGGTCAGTTCCAAGCAATAGGCATTCCCAGCAGTACAATTTGCAGCGTTTCTCAGAGGCTGTGAGCCACGGGTACCGTTCATAATTGCTCGTCTGAAAATGACCGACAAACCCTTTTCCTTGCTGGGACAGGCTAACTAGCGCAGGAGTTGGGAGACCTCTTTGCACAATATCCAGCTTTTCGTGGAAGGCCCGTCTTGCAAATTGTGTGGAAAGTAGTTCTGCAACCAGATCAACGTCTTCTCCTTCGGCCATTTTGAGTTAAAATGCGAGTGATAGCTCTCGCAGACGCTAACGTCTTCTCCTTCGGCCATTTTGAGTTAAAATGCGAGTGATAGCTCTAGCAGACGCTAATCCAATCTTTTTTTTTTTAAATCTTTATTTGACAAGTCAGGATACAATTCTCAGGAAACAGAAAAGGCGCTAATCCAATCACCAAACGCGCACGGCCAGTCTCGACGTAAGGCCTTCTAGCTGGCCCTAGTACGCAGACGAGTCAATTGGCTATTGATGGCAATAACACACGTAAATGTCTACTATTAAACAACTCATCGAAGTCATTAGCTGGGCCAAATGATTTACAATGCCTGCACATTTCCATTCGCTGTTTCTAATCAAGTCATGCTTGCCGGCCATGAAAGGAGACGATCAATGGTGTAAGGAAGATGAGGGAAGTGAAGGAATCAAGGAGACGTTGCCCCAACTTCATTCATTTGATTGATTGATTGATTGATTGATTGAATTATTGAGCATAGTGACACATTACAAAATGCAAAACAAAAGAAAGAATGAAAGAAACAAAAAAACTTAAAGGATCTCATCATTCAACGGAGTTTACCTGTTCAAAGTAAGCAAGTGGAAAAACGTATTCTGTCCTACCTCTTGTTCTGATATCATGTTCATAAACTAATAGATTATTCATATACATAATATCTCAAAATAAAAACCAAACACGCTCTTCGTAACACCTGCACAGATAATTTTATGTACAAGTGTAACTTGTGAATCCTGATTAAAAATTAAAAAAAAAAACATTTTACGGAGAATTACCTCAATTTTCAGAGATCATAAAGATTTACACAATAATCATAAAATTCATAAATGCAAGACAGCGTCATTTTTAACATACATATAAAACACATACAAACAACCGTTCGCACTCACATTCGCACAAGTCCTCAGATAACCCATGATGCATGTTTTTGGAATGTGTTAATAAAGCAGAGTCCTCGGACAAAACCAGACAACCTTGGGGAATACAGGCTAACTTTGCATACGTAAGATGAAAACTGAACCCTGAACTTCTCAATATTGAGGTTGATGTGCGAACCACGCCCCCACTGTGCTGAACGCTTGTGTTGGTTATTTGATATAAAATCCTTTCGGTTCTAACTTTATGCATTTTCTGTAGTCCCCTGCTGTTATTGTCACGGCAGCCCAGACAATCCTTGAAGGATCTTGTAATATCGCAGATGTTCACCCAGGGCTAACATTTGACAGCACAAGGTTGGAAATAGTTTTTCATCCTTTGCCTCAAAACCTTGTTGGATTTCAAGTGCACGCCTTTCACCCCTTAACTGCTTAATTAAATCCATGCATCACGAAAAGTCAGCAAACAAAAAAAAATCTGCACCTTTGCCAGTTCACCCCAATCTGTTATCAGTTTTCCCACACAGTTCCCCAAAGGTGCTTGTAAAGCAACACACTCATCATACATACAACTGAGCTCTTTGTGATGTCCTGAAGGAGCATGAATATTTTGAGGCCAGAAGCACAACAGACATGACATTTCAGATTTTTGTTTTTTCACAAATTCATCTCAGAAAATGTTACATTTTTTTGAAAAAGAGAGGCAGTTGATTAGACGACAGTTCGGTTGCACAGATTACAAGCCAGTCCCATCAACTCGAAGCTTGACTGAGTCCCAATTTAGGGCTACATCCTTTGAGCCTGCGTTTTAACGGCCAAAGTTACTCTGACACCATACAAAGAGTCCTTTAAGTCTTTAAGTAAAGCCCAAATATGGAGCTTTATATATATATATATATATATACACATATATACGGTATATATACAGTATATATACAGTATATGTGTATATGTGCGCTGACTCAAGGTGCCCAGACTAATACTGTGTTCTGTAATGCTGCTCACAGACAAATCTACATGAAAATAAACACACCAGAATTTTTTCTTGTGCCTAATACCTTGGGATGATATTAAGCATTTGCATTTGTGTGACCACAAAAAGCTAATTTTTAATCTGTTTCCTTGTTCACTCAGATGATTCTCTAAAAGTGTGTGTCCACTCTGGGCCGGGGTGCTGCACCAGTAAGATGGAGGAGAGTTACATGGCTGCTGTTCGCAGTGAGACTCAGCAGAAGATTCGATCCTACAGCTTTGAGCTGAAGTACCTGATTGCTGGACAGAGCAAAGCCTATCAAGGTGAGGAAGACTTTCACAATCAGTTATAAATAAAATATATATCCATCAATTGTCTAAAGTACTTGTCCTCATTATGGCCACGGGTGAGTTGCAGCCTCTGCCAGAGGACTATAGGCCAGAGGTGGGTTAGATCCCGTACTGGTCACCAGCCAATCGCGGCACACACAGACAAATGACCATTCATGCTCACAATCACACCAATGGATAGTTTGCAGTGTTCAATTACCGTACATGCATGTTGTAGAAATGTGGGTGGAAGCAACGCAAATATGGGGAAAACTTTCAAACTCAGAGATTTGAACAACCAACCACAGAAGGGTGGGGCAGACGTCTTAACCATGAGACTATCGTGCGGCATGACTAAAACATATCCGCAATAGATGAGATATTTTGATTATCAGGATTTGTTATCCCTTTGAATAAATTCATGGACATTTTTGCTTTAATAGATGATAATTGACAGGCACAGTCAATGCATCAAGTGAGCTCAGCGACATTTTTGTGCTTTAACAATTCTGTCAAGAGCTTGCGGGCCCCTTTGTCATGCTGACTTTGTGTGTCCATCATGAAATTGCTAGTTTGTGTCAGGTTTATGGTGTGAGGCCAGTTTATTTAGTGAGGCGCCACAGTGGCTAGCCAAACAAACAAGTGATGCCCGATGCTGTTTGAGTGAGCAAACTCTCAGGGAGAAGGGAAGTGGAAAACTTTGTTACTATCTTTCTCTTTGCTTTCTGTGTCAATCTGCATCTGAGGCTGCGATAATTAGGTTTTGTTCGTGACCAATGAGAATGCGAGGGCTGAAGAATGTTTACATTCAGTGCGTATCCCCACCAAAGTGTTGTTGTCAGGGGTAACAGCCAGTCTCTAACGGCCTGCTCTGAATAGGAGGGAGAATACCCTGCTTGTCCACTTGTCTCTCAGCACTATTCACCGGTGAGTGTGTATGTGTGTTTGTGTGTGCGAAAGAGCGATATGCTTGGGGTGCACATTTTATTAAAGGTTAGCCTTGATGAGGCCCAGACAGACATAGCAAACATGTTCCACTCTTTGTCCTTTTTTATCTCGACTGCTCGTCTCAGCTGTTATTCAGACATCCTGGAGAACTAAACTATCCATGGAAAATGCTCGGACATAAGACGAAATTTTGGCTTATCTACCGACATCTACCATCAACAAAGCCCCACTAGCAGATGTTTTCTCTTCCAACAATTGATATTATTGCCAAACACCGGGGGGGGTCACTAGGTTTGATGGATATGGGGAGGGCACAGCCCCCAGGGGATGCACAGGATGTGAGGTAGCACGTGAGCACAAGTTTTACAAACAGCTAACAAATACTGAGAAATTGTGTTTCCATGTTTTTGGAAAAATGTAACAAATTTACAATACTGTGTAAGTTTTAACCCACCATTAAATTAGTACTGTATTGTTTTCCACCAACATAGGAACTATGTTCATTAATTAATATTATCTGTGATGATCTTATCCTATATGAGATTATTTTCTGATGTAAAATGGGTGCCTTGGCTCAACAGAGATTGGAAAACCTTGATTAAATGATTATTCTGCCAAATAAAAACACAAGTTATTTAATGCGTCATACAGAAGAAAATGCACATTAGATAAGAGGTTTCATAATTAATATCCAACAGGGACATAGAATAAGCTCAGCTCAACAGATGTGCTAAAAAGTCACCCACCGTGCCACATGCAGTTTCATGTGGTGCATGTGATATTTTTCTTGCATACTTTAATACTAGAAGTATAAGAATGCACTACAGTCAGTGTCACTTATTTGTGCTCGTTTGACATGAAGCTTGGTGGACTTTCTCTAAGTTTGAGTGATAGTTTGATGATATAAATTTGTGTTGATTTTGCATGTTTTAAACCTACTTAAAGTATGAAAATAAAACTAAAGCAAGGGAAAAATGTGTTGAAGTGGAAGTCAAGTCAAACATTTTCTTTTCAATGTGTTCTCTGTGGCCCATTAGTCTAAATACAGTTTTCTGATTATCTTGCATTTGTGGAATAATAGTGAATCAGATGAATCCACTCCATCCCAAAATTTTTGATTTGACTTGAAGGACAAATGCTTCGGCCGTATTACAGGGGACTCGGTCCAAACACGAACCAGGTGGAGTGTGGATCCCAAAAATGCAGACTCAGAAAAATTGTGTTACACAATTATTTATAGAAGAACAAAGGACCGACAAAGTATGAACAGGAATCAAAACAAAAAGCGCTTGCAAACAGCAAGGTGAATTTGACAACTGAAAGTGCACAAAACAAAATGACAAGAATCCAAACACGCGAAACAAAAATTAGTCCAAAATGACTTGACAACCAAAATGCTTATGAATCAAGAATCAAGCGGCACAGGAGCGACTATGAATGTGGGCATGAGGTCGAGAAAATATCACTTGATTATAAACTGCGAACAAGATCAATACTCCGACAGAGACTTTGCAGCCCTTTTATACTTGACGAATGAGAACAAGAAACAAAAACAAACACACACTAGTCGAATGGAAATTGCTACCTCGACCCCAAAAGACAAATTGGGAAAAGGATGAGTCAATAGTGGTGGACACGTGAATAATCTTTTAAGTTCCTGAAAGGTGGACTGCCAATCGCAGGGCACACTTAGACAAACAACCATTTGCGCTCACAGTCACACCTAAAGACAATCTAGAATGTTCAATTAACGTACTGTGCATGTTTTTGTCGGGCGTGGGAGGAAACTAGAGTACCCGCAGAAAAACCATGCAGGCACGGGAAGAACATGCGAGCCCCACATAGGAGTGCCGAGCCTGGTTTCGAACCTTGGAGCTCTGTGCTATGAGACGGATGTGCAAACTAGTTGGCTTAAGTCAAATTTCAAATATCACATACAGGCCTCCAAATTAGTTTGCAAAATTAAATCACAGCCTGTTGCTTGCCAGCAAATCATGGTATGTCTTGCTAAGTACCTTTGTCAAGTTTGACGGTGTGTTTTTGAAAGCCATGAGGTGGTGGCACCTCAATGAGGTGGTGGCACCTCGATTCAGTTTGCAAAGTTTGCAGCACATTCGAAATGAGTTATTTGCCACTCCTCAAATACAACCAACAATGTGCCATGGTTTGCTGGCCTTTCTGGCTACACAGATGGACATTTTACTGGATAAGCTACTGGCGAGTTTCATTGATTTGTTGATTTGCATCACGTGCAAGTGCAGTGCCTTGCGTACAACAGTGTGTCGAAATGTGATATGTTTATACTTCTCATCCAACCACAATCAAAATAATTTGACCTATCCTAGGATAAACTGGAATGAACGCAATCCAAAATGAAATTGTAACCGTTTTGTTGTTGTTGTTTTTTGTTTTTTTGTGTGTAAAGAGTAGAAAGTACAGATATTTACAAAAAAAGTAAAGAGTAGAAGTACAAGGTAGGCTGAAAAATAACTATTCCATGAAATATAGTTACCCCATATTTCTCCGTAAAATAAGAACGTGTTTTTACTTGATTACTTGACACCTCTCTGTGCATGTTGAAGGGGCATCTGTGGGGATAGAGGGGGCATAAATTGACAAAGGTTCACATCCTCCATCTTTACATGATAAACAAAATGTGTCACAAGAACGTCCTTGTTAGTTTTTATTTTGGTCCCTTGTCAACAGCTCATTTAGGTTCCATCTTTACGCTTGCTTGTTAAGCTTACTTTCGATCTTGTTTGTTAAAAAGACTGCAAAGTGACTGCTTGGAATAGGCTATTGCTGACGAAATGTTTGATTTGAAGACCAGGGGTCACTAAGAGCTTTTGAATCTGAGAGCTACTTCTTGGGTACTAATTCATTTGAATGGCTAGCGGTTTCATACAGGCTTCTGACATAACAAACTCGCTCAAGCTGTCTTCAATTGTATGTTATTTTTAATACTTCATGACAATCAGAGGCAATCAGTGGTGAGCATATCCACTTCACGGTACTGAGGTTGGGTCTTCCAAACCACACTTTGGCCTTTCTGTGTGTCGTTTGCATATTCCCCGCCCCCTGCTTGTTTGAGCTTCCTCTCACATTCCCCCAAAAAGGAATGCAAGGTTATTTGAAGAATTTTTTTATGTCTATCTTGACTCTTGAAGAGTTCAGGATGTACATTGACCTCACCCAAAGCAAGCTAGGATAGACTCAAGTTCATCCGTGACCCTATTGAGTATAAGTGCTGAAGAAAATGAATGGCTGATCTTCATCTGTATGAAAATTGATGGAGATAATGATTACGCCCAGTAATTATCAACCAACTTTTTACAAGGTTGCAAAGAGATATATGTGACTATACAACACTTTAATTCTATTAATCTCTGCAAGTATTTCCATTTCCAAATGATCACTTTGACAACATGTGTAGGAAATAACAATGTGCCATTGCTGGTCAGCTATTTGTAGAATGGGCCTGCCCGCTACTCCTGTCGTTGTTTGTGGCACCTTTGTATAGGCACCCACCATGTTGGTTACCCTTGCCCAAGACAAAGCTTCTGCTGAATGTAATTTGTCATAGTGGGGTTTACCGAAAACTTTTAAGGCTTTCTGATTAGTTGTTGTTGACGTGATTAAAAAAAGCTTAATTCAACAACAAAACTTTTGGCCCTATTTGATTCGATTCATTTGTAGCGACCTCAGTGTTCCTCAACAGATTAGCTGACTCGCAACGAATCCCCTTCTCCTAAACTCGCTCATTATGGACCCAGTAAGTAACTGAGACATGCCCAGAGCGGTTGTATCAGGCTCTGTTTACACCCTGTCCAAATCCCTGGTGTCTGTGTGTGCATTTGTGCGTCTGCTTGTGTATATGCCGTCTGCATGTGTTTCATTTTGCACTGAAAGAGCCCATTGCCCTATCCCCCACATCACAGCTGTCATTCAATCCCCGAGACTGGAGACAAGGTCACATGACCGGCGGAGTTTTAGCCTTGTCACTTGATGCTGTTTGTGTTTGAGTAACTATTGCCAAGACGTGGGCA